TCTGGACCTTTTGCTTTGCCAATTTTAGGGAATTTACATCAATTAGGAAAATTACCACATCATATTTTAACAGATTTTCATAAGGTGTATGGACCTATCTATCGTTTATTCTTCGGTGATATTTATACTGGTAACGTATACAAGTTAAACTATTTTATTATATTTTTATTCAATTGATACTAATTTGCTTTATAAACAAATATTAGTTGTGGTTTCAGATCCATCATTGATAAAACAAATCTGTATCGATAATGCAGATTTAATTGGTAATAATAGACCAGTAACACCAATTTTTAAACATGTTCAAGGTGGTAGAGGTTTATCGACATCAAATTTTGAACAATGGCACAAAAATAGAAATATTTTAAACAATGCAATGAAAAGGTCATCAACCAAAAAGATTTATGATCTTTTAGGCCATCAAGCAAATGAATTGGTAAAATCAATGAAAAAATTCTCTACCTCAGGTGAACCATTTGAAATTCATTTATATGCACATAGATATAGTTTGGCAAGTAAGTATATAGCCCTATTATATATTAAATATTTAATAATTTATTAATTGTTCTTTTATAACTATAGCAATGTTTAAATATCTATTTGATGAAAATATTGATTACAATGAAGATATCTCAAAAAGCAAGGTTGCAGAATTCAATACACTATTTGTTAATATTATTAAAGATCTTTCAACTGGTAATTTAGGTGACTTTATTAATATTCTTTCACCATTTTATTATTGGTATTTAAGTTTAACTGAAAAAAATGTAAACCTAATTAAAGATTTCCTAAGAACAAAGTATGATAACCATTTATCAACTATTGATTTCGAAAACCCAAGAGATTTCTTAGATATTTTAATCAAAGAATATGGAACAAAGAAAGACACTAAAGAATCAATTGTTTCTGTTTGTTTTGATTTATTTTTAGCTGGTAGTGATACTGTAGGTATTTTAAAAATAACTTTTACTATTTAAATAAAAATATAAACTAATTTAACTTTTAATATATAGGTTGCAATAACTATGGAATGGTTCACCTTAAGAATGTGCAATAACAAAGATATTCAAGAAAAAGCTTATAATGAATTAAAAAATGTTGCTGGAGATAGAAACTACTTAAAACTATCTGATCGTGCATCAACACCATTTTTTAATGCAGTTATTAAAGAAACATTAAGATCAAGTCCTGGTAAATATTGTTTTGATTTATATTGTTTTATTAATTATTATTAATTTTTTTTTTTAGTTTCAGCATTTGGTTTACCAAAGTATTCAATTCAAGATATTAATATTGGTGATCACTTTATTCCTAAACATTCACAAATTTTAATCAACTATAGGGGTTTAAGTTATAACGAAAACTATTTCGAAAATCCAAAAGAATTCAATCCATTAAGATTTTTAAATAAAAATAATGATGCCTATATGCCTTTTAGTATTGGTGAAAGATCATGTGCCGGAACCACCCTAGCTTCTGACGAATTGTATTTAGCATTATCAAACATTTTATTAAACTTTGAAATCTCAAGTATTGATGGAAAAATTATTGATGACAGTGAAATATTTGGTTTAACTTTAAAACCAAATCCTTTTAAAGTTAGTTTAAAATCAAAATATTAATAACCAAAAATTCATTCCACAATCCCAAGAATATTTTCGAAAAAAAAAAACAAAATAAAAAATAAAATTTATTAATTTTATAGATTATTCACCTCTATACCTTTTGTCCTACCTTATTTACTAATGGAAATGGATTTTATATAAGTAACTATCGATTTATTTAATTTAATTTTTAAATATAACAGGGTTATAGTCATTATTGCCTCTACACTAGTTTCATTATTTAAATAGTTTACCATAGTATGGAAATATTTAAAATCAATACCGCATACACCATTATCCCCTTTGGGGTTGAAAACTCTATTGCCTAAATAATAGGTCGGTAGCACCATTTTCATACTGGATAGTAATAATGGTATTGCAAATGATGTGGTGTATAAAACAGATATTGTAGTAAAAGTAAAAACCAAACCTCTCTTTTCTCATATATAACCATTCAATTATATATTTTTACTTTAAAAATATCTCTATAAAATCTATATTAAAATATCCACCCAATTTTTACGATCAACCCCAGTTTTTTTTTCAAAAGAAAATTCTTTTTTTTATATTTTTTTTTTTTTTATTATAATTTATTTTTTTTTCAATTTTTTTTTAAAAAACTTTTTTTTTTTTTTTTTATTTTTATTTTCACATCACACCAAAAAACAAATAATTATTAATATTTATTTTTAGGTATGGTATAAAAACAAATAAATCCAAAGGAATAGTAACCACTTCATATTTCCTCTTCCTCCTCTTCTTCTTCCCAATCCCTTCTCTTTTTCCTCTTCACCCTCTTCATCATCCCTGTACATAATTTATTATTTATTTTTTTAAAAAAAAAAATAAAACAATAAAATATAATGGAAAATATTCATTTGTGTCGTTATCCTCTTCCAATAATAACAAATAAATGATAAATTTTTTGTTATTTTATCCCTCTCCTCGCCTCTCCTTTTTTTTTTTTTATTTTCCTCTTCCAATAATATAATCACATGATTATAATAATGTAAATATTTAATCACATAAGCCAATAATTAATTAAAAATTATTTCATTATATACGAAAAATATATTATGACAATAAAAAAATTAAATAAAAAATATTTTTTAATTAAAAAAAAAAAAAAAAAGACATAATTACAGTGTGGTTCTTTGTATATCTTTCTCTTTTTTATCTCTTTTTTATCTTTTTTTTAAAGATATGTAATTTTGGATTAAGTTTGTTAAAACATTAAATAAAAAATTTATTAAATTAATTTTTAATTGATTTAATAGATAAATGATTTTTTTTTTGTTTTTTTTTTTTTTTTTTTTTAAATTATCTATCTTTTTCCCATCCATAAATCTTCTCTATTTATTTTTGATTTTCTATTTTTATTTTTAAACTATTTTTATCTTTAATCTTTATTTTTTCTATATTTAATTTTACCCAAATATATAATATTATTTATTTTTTAAATAAAATTTAAATTTTATTTCTATATTTAAATATTTTATTTCTATTTTTATATTTTTTAAAAAAAATTAATTATTTTTTTTTTGGTGTGTTTAAACTTGTTTATTTTTGTGAACACCCACTCACACATCCATAGATACTTTTAAAAAATTTTTTATTTGTTTGTGGGTTTTCATTGTATTTATAGAGAAGAAAAACTTAAAATTATTTCTTTTTAAGATTGTGTGTGGTGTGGTTAATTTCATTTTTAAAATTAATTTAAAACATAAAATTTCTTTTCATTTTGTTTTATAATGTGTCATATAAACAAATAAATAAATAAATATATATATTTTTATAATATCTTTGTAAAATATCTTTTTTGTATTTTTATAAAAATTAAATAATTATAATATTAAAATTATAATAATATCAATATAAATGTATAATTAATAACTTATTGTAAATAATAGTTTTAAAATTTTATTAGATTTAAATTCAAGGATTATTATTATACAAAAAAAAAAAAAAAAAAAAATGGCTATATCAATAGATAAATGTAATTGTCAATGCTCAAAATGCACATGTAACGAATTATTAAATAATTTAACCAATGGCAACTTTTCTGAAAAAGAAAAAGCTCCTCAATTAAAACCAGCAACTTGTTGTTCACCATCATCAGTATCATCATCCTCATCGTCACTCTTGGGAAATGGTGCAAATCCTTTGTCACCATGCCAATGCTCAAAGGGTTCTTGCTATCAAGTATTAAGATTAATTGATCACAAGTTCTTTAGATTCTTTGTCCCACAACTAAATGATGAATCTCAAATACCATTTGTTGAAAATTCAATTTCACAACTAGATAATGTTTTATCAGTTAAAGCTGATCACCTTAGCAACACTGTCCAAGTCGAATGTAATGCAGATGGATATCTATTTAAGCTTTTAAATTGTTTTAAACAATTAAATTTAAATATTCTCGCAATTCAAACAAAAGAATGTCCACAAACCACCAATGATGTAAGTAAATCGATACCTTTAATCATTACATATAATAGCCTTAATATTAATTTTGTTTTATATTTTAATTAAAGGAAATTATTAATGATGATACACCATTATTAAATCAAATTCAATCACCAGTCTTCTCTAATGAAACCAATGAGTTTAAAGAGAGATCTTTTGAAATTGATGGAATGTTATGCGAATTGGGTTGTGCTAATATTATCGAAGCAACATTATTGTCAAATAAGAATGTTAAAAGTCTCGAAATTGACTTTAATAATAGAGTCTTAAAGATATCTGGTGATCTTACCGATAGACAAATTAGAAAAACCATCGAAAGATTAGGTTTCAAATGTAAAAGAATTAAACAGGTAAAGCAAACTTCATTAAAAGAAGAGATTTTAGCTGTTAAGCAATTACCCCCAATTTCATCAAACAGTGACCCAACTATTATTGAAATGGAAGATAATGCCAGTGGTATCAATAGTAGTGTTGCAAATGATGATTATAAAGCTTTACAATCATCATCATCATCGGCTTCAAATAAAAATGAAATTGAAATGATGGATATCAAATGCGAAAACCCACCAAGTTCCGTCGAAAAAGTTTCAATTGGTGTATATGGTATGACCTGTGCTTCTTGTGTTGGTATGGTCGAGCATAGTATCAAGAGTGTTTCTGGTGTTTTGGAATGTAATGTTAATTTATTAGCAGAAAGGGCAGAGATTACTTTTCATCCAGAGGTTGCTCAAGTTAAAGATATTCAAGAGTCAATCGAAATATTGGGTTTTGAAACTAAATTAATTCAAGAGTCAAAGCCGGGTTTATTCTTTGTTAAAATAAAAGAATCATCACAATTAAGTCAAGTTCAAATCGAAAATATTTTAAATGATTTATCAATAATGAATGGTATATTTGAAGTTTCAAAAGAGCAAGAGGGTGAAGAGTCAACTGCTTCCAAAACCAAAAAACAATCCACATCATCAAAAGATCTCATTATCAAGATTGAAGGTGACTCACTATTAATTGGTCCACGTATTGTAATCAAGTTTATAAAAACCAAATACAATATAGAGTCGGAATTACATAATCCAGATAGTTCAGATGCAAAAGATTCTTTATTAAGAAAAAGAGAGATCGCAAAATGGAGAAGAATATTTTTAATTGATATTGCTTTTACAGGTCCATTAATTATTATTGCAATGATATTGGTACCAATTAAATCAATTACATTCCTTCATAAAGAGATTACAGGTGGTTTCCCAGTAGAAGCATTAATTGGTTTTATTTTAGCTACTCCAGTACAGATAATTGGTGGTTATCCATTTTACAGAGCTGCTTGGGCTGCATTAAGAAATTTACATGGTAACATGGATTTATTGGTCGCTGTAGGTAGTACTGCTGCTTATGTTTATTCAATTATTTCAATTATTCTCGGTATCGTTAACCCAGAATATGAAGGAATGCACTTTTTCGAAACCTCTGCTAGTTTAATTACCTTTATCACCTTAGGTAGATGGTTAGAAAATATTGCTAAAGGCCATACCTCATCAGCTATTGTTAAATTAATGAATTTACAAGCTAAAGAATCAACTCTTATTACTTTTGTACCAGGTACTAACCAAATCGAATCCGAAGAAGTTATCCCATCCAATCTTATTCAATATGGTGATCATTTAAAGGTTGTTCCAGGTGCATCAATTCCAACTGATGGTGTTGTTGTTTATGGTAATAGTAGTGTCGATGAAAGTATGTTAACTGGTGAATCAATCCCTGTTTCTAAAAAGGAAGGTGATGCAGTTACTGGTGGAACTCTAAATTTAGAGGGTGTAGTTTATATTTGTGCCAATAAAGTTGGTTCAGAGTCTACTCTTTCACAAATTATTGGTTTAGTTCAACAAGCTCAAACATCAAAAGCCCCAATTCAAGCTTTAGCAGATAAAATTTCAAAATTCTTTGTTCCAATTATCATTTTATTAGGTATTATTACTTTTGCAATTTGGTTTGCAATTACCCAAACCAATGTAGTTTCCGAAAGTTGGAGACATAACACTAGTCCATTTTTAATTTCTTTCCTCACTGCTATTAGTGTTGTAGTTATCGCATGTCCATGCGCTTTAGGTTTAGCCACACCAACAGCTGTTATGGTTGGTACAGGTGTTGGTGCAAGTATGGGTATTTTAATTAAAGGTGGTAAACCATTAGAAACTGCTCATAAAGCTACTGCTGTTCTATTCGATAAAACTGGTACAATTACAACAGGTAAAATGACAGTAACTGACTATCGTATCAATACAAGTGAGGTTCAATTATTATTAGATGACCAAGTACCAGTTTCAAATCAAAGTGATCATGCCGATAAATTCTTTTTCAAAATTGTAGGTGCCTCCGAAAGCGGTTCAGAACATCCAATTGGTAGAGCAATCGTTACTTATTGTAGAAATACTCTTTCAACAAAAGGTGCAGAAACAAACACAGGTGTCGAAAATTACCAATTCCCACCAATTGAGCAATTTAAAGCTATCCCAGGTAGAGGTTTAAGTTGTATTTTAGATAACAAGAATGTCAATGTTGGTAATCTTTCATTTATGAAAGAAAATGAAATTAAAGTTGACCCAGATTTTATTCAATCTGCAGAACAATGGGAAACCAATGGTAAAACTGTTATTTATGTTTCTTTCGATTCTAAATTCATTGGTATCATGTCAATTTCAGATATTCCAAGAGATGACTCAAAATATGCAATTAAAAAGTTAACATCAATGGGTTTAAAGTGTTATATGGTAACTGGTGATAATAGAAGAGCTGCTAAATACATTGCAAATCAAGTTGGTATTCCTGAAGGTCAAATCTTTTCTGAAGTTATTCCAAAAGAAAAGTCAGATAAAGTTAAAGAGCTTCAAGATTCAGGAAATGTAGTTTGTTTTGTTGGTGATGGTGTAAATGATTCACCAGCATTATCTCAAGCCGATGTCGGTATTTCTGTTGCAACTGGTACTGATATTGCTATTGAATCATCATCAATTGTTTTATTAAAAAATTCACTCACAGATGTTTATCGTTCCATTCATTTATCAAGAGTTGTTTTCCGTAGAATTAGAATTAACTTTACATTGGCTTTAATATATAATCTTTGTGCAGTACCATTAGCCGCTGGTTTATTCAGAGTAATGTTTGGTGTCGCACTTCCACCAATGGCAGCTGCCGCAGCAATGGTAGTTTCCTCATTATCAGTTTTATCATCATCATTGTTATTAAAACTTTATAGATCACCAAAATAAATATAATTAAATAAAAACTATAATTTATTTTATTTTTTCATTTTGTCATATATAATTAATTATTTATTTTATTTTTTTTTTTAATATTAATATTTTTAATTTTTATTTTTTTTCTATTTTTTTTCAAAAATTTTTTTTATTAATTTATTAACTTATTAAAAATTTAAATCATAAATTAAAATGCATGTAATAAAAAATAGTTTACAAATTTCAGTATCTACAATTTCTCAAAAATTTTGTAAAAAAGAATCATTTAATCTTTGTGTTCGACCTGGTATTGCTGATCACCTATCATATGAAGAACTTAAAGAAATCTATGACAAGCTTACATTAGAAGATAAACATGTAGTAGAGACTATATATTGGGAATTAATGAAAAAAGAAGACAGTAGAATTGATGGATGGGAGTATGGTAAGATTAATTTTTTCAATAATCTAAGAATTACTGCACGTTCTTTACATCGTGGAGGATTTATAGAATTAGAGGATAAAGATAGTCTTATTAAAATTGATTATACAACCAAACTATGTAGGACAAATAATAGTTCAAAAACTCAGTACTTTTCATTAGGCGAAAAATATGGAAATAATTTATCAATTGGATATTGTGGATATGTTAATGGAATGGGTAATACAATTGGGTGGGCAGGTAGAGATGCATCCATTATATCAGATACAGTTTTGGATGGTATCGATTTGCATTGTGTATATTTACCGTCATATCAACATTCACCTGACGGATTTTCACCATCAAATGATTTTATAGGGTTTTCAATGGATGTTGCAAGACATCTATCTATAAATGGTGGTGATTATTCCAAAACAGCTTGCTTAATAGCCCAACAATGGATAGATTATTTAACAGATAACCCAGACAAATATTTTTTAACAATTGCTGCATCTGATGGTGGTACATTTACTTGCGCTGCTGTTAAATTGATGTGTCAGTATTGTCCTCATCTTTTATCAAGGGTTTCAATCATTCTCTTAGCGCCAGGATGTTTCTTGTTTCCTAATGAGTATATCAAATACGACCAAGTGATGAATTTTGTTAAATTAGAAGACAATTTAATTACAAGGCTTGCTACAGGTTCGCAGTTTATCGGTAAACATCAAAATATAATAATAGTTCCGCATAATTCAACAAGTGACCATCCACACAATTTTTTATCCTATGATTTTGCACAAATTGTAAAACCATATGTAGAACAATTTAAAAAAACTGGTAAATTAATAAATGATAATAACAATTTGTAAATAATAATAAAACTAAACTTATAAGTATTTATTTATTTAATTATTTTTATTTATTTTATATCCTCATCATCGTCATCATTATTATTATTATTATTATTGTTTATTATTACATTTGATGATAATGTTTTGTTAAAACCTTTTGCTGTATTATTATCTGTATTATTATTTATGTTTATTAAGCTATTTAGTTCATTAATTTTGGATTGTAGTTGGTCCATACATTCTTTTAAATCTGTTTCGATAGAGCCTTCATCTGAAATGATATCTAGACCTTTAGTTTTTAACCATTTATTAATATCAATAAATTTAAATGCTTCATTAAATGTATTATCATGGGATTTTAATTCTACAATTTTTTTTATCATTTTCTTTTTATTTTCCCTAATTTCTAAAGGTATAAATAATATTGGTTAGTTATATTGGTTTTAAAAATAATAATATTAATGGAATAATTAAAGTTACCTTTTCTAATTTTATTTTCTTCATTTTCTTGATTATCATCATTTTTAATATCGTCAATACTACCATTGCTATAGTCATCTTCATCTTCATCATCATCATCATTATCTTCATCCTTGCTACCTCTAAGTTTGAGTTTATTCATGTCATTATGATCTTTATTTAAACTATCTGAATTATTATCATCATATTCGCTGGTGTTTGGTGTGTAGGTTGGTGTTGTTGAGTTTATATCCTTTAAGCAAAGTTCGTTGTCAATTTCCCTGACATATACATAATCATCATCTATTTCATCTATATTTACATTTTTTAATATTAAATCGAATATATCTATTGTATTTTTATTATTTATATTATCGCTTTCATTTTCGTTGGGTATTGTTGTGTTGTCTATTGATTTTGTGGCTGATGTTGAAGTTGAAGATGATGGTGCTGAATCTGATGATGACAAATCGTTCTTCTCTTGTTTGTATTGCTTTATTTGTTCGATAATAAAATCTTGATAATATTTATTCTCTTCAAATTTCTCTAATAAATATAAATCCTGTTTTAATGAATTTATAGTGATTCTAAATGATGATACATTTAAATCATCATCTTCATTATTTTTTTTATTTTTATTCATTTCTATTTTTTTATAAAATGAAAATAAAAAAAAAAAAATTAAATTAAAAAAAAAAAAAAAAAATATTAAAAAATTAAAAAAAAAAAAAAGTATTAATATTTTTAAACTAATTAGCTATTTGATTTAAAGTATATTAATAAATTTGGAAATATCTTCAATTATTATAATTATTTTATAGTTTTGTTTTGTTTTGTTTTTTTTACTGTTTTTATTTTTATTTCTATTTTTTTTTTTTTTTTTCAAAACAATTTTGTTTTGTTTCTTTTTTTTTCTGTTTTTATTTTTATTTCTATTTTTTTTCTATTTTCCAATATTGTTTAAAATAAATTTAGTTTTGTTTAAAATAAAAATGGTTGTTATATAATAAAAATAGTTTATTTAAATTATAAATAATAATATTAATTGTAAAGTGTTTTAAATGTTATCAACAACAATAAATAACAATAAAAGAAAAAATAAAAATAAAAATAAATATAATCTAAATAAAATAAATAGAGAAGATGAATTTAATATAAATAAAAAAATTAAAATTAGTGCAGATGAAGAAAAATCTACACCACAAACCAAAACTATATCTCCATTACCACCTATACTCTTAGATTCTGCAATCAACAATAATAATAATAATAATAATAATAATATTGATTCTAAAATTCAATCACTAACATTTAAAGTAGATAAAGATGTTGAGGTATACCAAGTTGATTCGACATTTAAATTTAATCATATTAAAATGGTAAAGTCCAATACAACATCACAGTTTTTACGAATAGATAAAGCCAAGGAAAAAGATAGTTTTATAACTAAAACGAATATTAAAAATTCTTCAAAATCTATTGGAAATAACAATTCATTTGTTTGGAGTGCAATTCATGCATTTTCATTTGTAAGTTTTTACCCATAAAAACATATATATATTGGTTAATATTTATTAACCTTTTATTTTTAGCATCATAAACTGATTATTAGACCAGATGATATCTGGATGGCTATATTAAATGTATTTTCAATATTTTTTAATAACAATTTGGGAAAATTAAGAAATAAGTTTGTTAGCTTTAGTGGCAAAAAAGAATTAACCGTAGCTACAAACTACCCAATTTTCGATGCACCAATGGATGAATTGATTAAATTAATGACAGTAGAAATTAAAAGCAACATTAAAGACCCTTCGATATCAGATTGGTTAATACCATCGTTTACAACTACAACCAAAGTCGATAAAGTGGTTTACGCTGCATCATTAATGTCAACTCTAAAAGGTTTTTTTGATTATAAATTTTCATCAAGATGTGGATTGCCAGAGGTTACATTGTTGGGCAGTGTAGATGATTGGGTCGATATTAAAAATAGATTCTGCAGATTCAAAGACTATGATTGTAAAACAAATCAAATGAACCAATGGTCTGAATTATTAAACCCAGTTTTAGATAAATTTATTGAAACTGCTCAAGGAAATCCAGATATTAAATGGTGGAATTCTATATCAAGATATAATGGTGTTTCTGGAGGGTATGTACTAATTCTGTTTAATAGTTTACACTACACTATTGATTCTAATTTGTTTTTTTATCTATAGACCTTATATTACAGGGTGGATAACATGTTTTTGCATTTATGATATTACAGGGAAATATGTAGGTGATAGAAAAGATGAAAGCATGGTTCCACCTAGAGGAGAAGAAAAAGAACTTTCTGGCAAATGGTTAACTTTAAAGGCTAACCAATTGATTAAAGGTTATGTCTCAACACCTGTTGTACTCAAAGATATTAATGGTATTTGTTATAACTCTGAATTATATTGTGGCCATATTACTGTTGATATTTTAGATAAAAATACATTAAAACCAAATTTGGATTGGTGTTTAGTCATAAATAAAACAGAAATACCATCTCCCACTAATAATAATAGAAATAATAATACTAATAATAAAAACATTTAAATACAATAAAAATAAATGAAATAGAATCTAATTGATTCTTACTTAATTTAAAAGGGTATATTTAAATGACCAATCATAAATAAAATTTTTTTATTATATACCTCCCAACTATATTAACTCTCTTAATTTAAAGATATAATATTCCAACATCTTTTTTTTTCCAAAGATAAACTTCAAATCATTATAAATAGAAAAAATAACAATCTTATTAAACACACATTAAAAAAAACCTCCATTTTACCACACAACACCCTTTTTTTTTTTTCACCCACATCAATATTTTTTTAACTTACTTTGTGCATAATATTAAAAAAAATACACATATTATAGATTTATTATTATAATCATCATATTTTTTAATTTTTTTATTAATATATTTTTTTATATTCTATTTATAACTATTTTAAAAATTGTTTTTTTTTTTAATATTTTTTTTTTTTATTATTTTAAAAAAAATTATACAGAGAATAAATAATATTATAATAGTTTAATTATTTTTTTAAAAGAAAAATGCAAATAAAAAAAATACTTTTTTTATTAAATATATTTTTAATTTTTAATTCTATAAATTCATTTGAGTTTTTAACAGTACAGTTTGAAAAAAGTGATTGCTCAGGAATTCCAATAGTTATTTATTCTACAACACAATGCTCACCTGCTGGTTATTTTAATGTTGAAGGTACAACTGTTCATGTCACAATAGAAAATAATATAAAGTCAGTTAGTGATTGCAAAAACCCAATCAAAGACTATGAAGATACATTAAATAAATGCAATTCAAATGGCTTAAAGACATACTTTAACAAAGATTATAATGTCTCCCTACCAGAAGGCTATTGTGCAGAAGTTAGACTATTACAAGGTGGTGATTGTGAAAATAATTTAGAATTAATCTCATACAAAGATGGTGTATGTATCAATGATGGCTCCAATATTTACCACCGTTATCTTTGCGATGGAAATGTTGCTAAACGTTATAAATGTGCTTCAGATTGTACTAAAACTGTAGATAAATGTGTATTTGACAAAGTACTTGATTCTATAGAAAAGTGTCCATCAATCAAAACTAAAAGTATTAAGGAAATAACAAATGACTCATCTATCAAAACACCTGCACCAACTAAACCAAATGAAAACGGCTCAAGCAATAATGGAACTAATACCGGAGGTAACAATAATAGTAATACCGGCAGTGCAACTACTGGCGGTAATAATAGCAAAGGGGGCGATAATGGAAACCACTCTACAATCTTAAATATAAATATTGTATTCATTTCATTTTTATCACTTTTATTATTACTAAAATAGATTTATTCATTATTTTCTTTTTTAAATAACTAAAATAAATGATTTAAAAAAAATTTACATCTATCTTTTTACTTTTATTATTTTGTATAATGTCAAAACTATTATAATGATTGGACTAAATGAATACTTTTTTTTTTTATAGTAACTTTTATTATTAAATATATTATTATGTAAATACATTCAATTTTTTTCTTTGTAAATAAAATGATTGTAAACTGTTTTTTATAGATTTAAAATAAGATTGAGAGAAATCCAATAATTATTGAATTGTTTATCTATTATAAAAAAAAAAAGAAAAAAAGATAAAAAGATAAAAAGAGAAAAAGAAATACAAAAATAGAACAAATTTACAAAATAAATCATAATTTTATTATCAATATAACAATAAAGTACCAATAAAAATTAATTAATTAATTAAAATATCATATGAAAAAAAATTAAAAAAATAAAAAAAAAAAACAATTGAGGAAAAAAAAAAAAATATTTAAAAAAATAAAAAATTTTTATTTTTTTTTCATAATTT